AACTTTATTTCACCATTAACTTACTACTGTTTATATTTGTTCATAGACTAACAGAGAGTGTCCTTACCTCATCAAAATCAGTAAAAATATGAGAGAACTCAGCCATGAACCATACCTGCAAGGATAAATCATAGAGTTAGTTGCTGAACTTGGAAACAAATAAGAAGAATAGATTAGCATTAAACAGTTTTCCTCGTCAGTGCCTTAAACCCAACTAGTTTGGGTCAGTAGCAATATATTTATAGTGCTAAATAATTGTACAAAATCACCTAACAATAGATTCTTGCAAAAAAATGCCAATTTTATGCCATTCATGTCTCAGCCTTCTTAAAGAGTAGTGAAATGTGAATTTAAAAACTGTCATCATCATAGATTATTTCCACATGGAAAATAACATAGACAATAATGAATTGAGCTATTTTCTTTTGACTTGTCCATTACATTATTGCTATTGCAAAACCCAACATGCAAATCATGGAATGTAGACTCTAAAGTAGAATTCAACAACCATGGCTGAAAGGCACCGCAAACTGGATGCCCTCAAACAGCACTTTTGATGATCTTCACCAGTCTCCCGAGCTAATGCACATACTTTTTGGACCAGGTTTTCTATGTTGTATGTATACGTTAAATCTACCTGTTCATCATTCACATTAAAATATAATCAAAAAGAAGATATTTTGGATGTCATGGGACAAAGGGAAGAAGGGGGGCGGGGGGGACAACATCAACACATATATGATATATCCATGCACAGCTGATGAATCATCAAAGAAGAAGCAGGGAAATAACATTCAACACAATATCCATGTTCAGCGGATGAATATCATCAATCACTTCCACTGTTTTAGGCAAATGACACTGCTGCAAAGTGATCAAATTAAATGGACACAAAAACATCTCGCCTTGGTTTCTAAAATTATGTCAACAAGCCAATATGAATCGGAACATATGACAATAAGACTTTATTTTGAAGTTGGTAAGCAATTAACCATAAGATGGCTTGCCAAGTTGCCATACTTCAATTCATTTCTTCATACGTTATACGGAAACAAAAAGATGAAATAAAACTAGTGCCTTAATAGGAACCACATTGTTCTGCAGTAAACTAAAACGTGTAAATAGTTTTCTTAGGTATCTCGCATTCCTCCAAGACACACATCAATTCCATTTTAACCAATGTATGTTTGTGTCAGGCTTTGGACATTATGGTACAGAGACTTATTCCCCCAAAATGA